TTYYYCCSCMGCAGCAGCAGCAGCAGCAGCAGCAGATACACAAATAATACAGAGGCTCCTTCTCAGAGGTGGATGGTTAATGTTCAGTAATTATAACTTTGCTGGAACATTGGGTTATAATCACCTTAAGATCTGTTTTGGTAAATTTCACAAGCAAAGAACTTTAATTAGGGGGGTTACATTAGCCAAGTTGTAAGAAATAAAAATGTAATATGTGAAAATAATGAGAGTGGCTACCTGAATAATCTCCCTTAAATTATAAGATTCATCAGTGTTGGTCTTTCAGATCCTAACTCTTCACATAATTATAGTGTTTTGAAGCAAACACATGTCTCTTGTGTCTAATATCTTTAGATGAGGAAATCAGCCATCATCCGGCCAAGAAAGATTGATATGCAAAAAAAAAAAAAACAGATAAAAATCAGAGGACACTATAGAGCTGCCATTAGCAGCACCAAAATTTTCATTTGTTCATTAATTCATATAACAACTGAGTGTATTTATATAAAGTCACCATCTAGTCTCTTGGATGATACAAAGATAAGATGGGTGCAGAAGCTTCTTCTCATAGAACCTAGGTGAGGAGACCAGCATGTCCATCTGACTGTCTTGCCAGGATGTTAGTAAATGTTCATGGTAAAAAAAAAAAAAAAAACAGGAAATATGGGAAGTTCGTGGTCAAATAAGCATGGGAAGTAATGGGCTCAAGAAAATTAAAAAAAGAATTTTTTACCTTGGGGGTTCTGAGAGCCTTTAAAATGTTCCTACATCCAGATAMCCCTTGCTCCAAGACATTTGCTCACAGAATACTTAACCAGTGTCTCATGGAATCACCCTCTGAGAAACATTATTTAACTCCAAAGCTATAAGTGAGTGCTACAAAAGACAGAGGAGGGTAGCAGTGGTGTGCCKGCTTTCCAAAGGAAGTAATTAAAATTCTGGGGCTTGCTAATTTCCATGGTGTAAATACTTCCATGGCTGATTTCAAGCTACCAACATGATGTCATTGAACACAGAGTTGGGAAGAGATGCCCACAATTGATTCCAGCACAAAGCTGAAGTTTATCGAGAAAAAGCTAATTCCCAGCTGGAAGAATAGTGAGCAAGAAGAGGTAAGATTATGCTAATCTGTTCACTCTACCTARTTTGGTTTTTCTGGTGACTGACAGCCCATAGATAAACACAAACTGAGATCAACACAAATTCAGCCAGGAAGAATCAGACTTCACTGTGTGAAAACCTACACCATGACTTAAAAGACTTGCAGGCCTTTTTGTAAGAAGTAGCATTACTTGAAGATTCTGATACCCTCAGTCCAATTCACACTTTAAATATGATAGTTGTATTCAGAATGCTTTAAGAACTTAGTTCAGGGATCCTGCATTTAGATTAGGAGATGAACAGAGAAACCATAGGAGATAATGACCAGTATGGATTCATGGTGCTTACCTGTCTGGCTTTTTGATAAATGACTCCAAATTTGAATGTGTTGTTGACATCATGTTCATCATAAGACACAATCATTTGGGAGGCCTGGAAAAGGTAGGAAGGAAAAAATCAACTTTATTCATGTGGAAGTAAGTGAAGATGCAAATGGAAGGGGAAGCACTCATTTTGGTAGAGAATATGCCCCCTGCTAAAAAAAAGCAGATGATCAGGATGCAACTCCAAAGGTCTCAGCTAGCTCCCAACACCTGAGTTTCCCCAATCCTCTGTATCATCCATTCCATTCTATCCAGGTGTGCCAGCTACAGCTTGGGCAATTAAGTAGCCAGTGGGACTCAGGATAAAATACCCCAGTATTTTATCTGTGGTGTAAAAGTGAAGCCAGAACCCCCAAAACTCTTCAGGAAGGATGGCTCTAGCTCTAATTCCACCTTTTCTCAGCAGCATAATTTTGAGCAAGTCCCTGCTTCTGTCCAGGCTTCAATCCTTTTCTTCATAAAATGAGTAGTATAGAGGAACACGCTCTAATAAAAAGCAAACAGAAGAGAAAAAGGAAATCCTGACCATAAGTTCTATTAGATTTTCTATTTTTCCTCCTTGAAATACTCAACTCTAGTTCTGAATTTCCTGCTTTTATCCATGTAGCTTTGAGAGTGTCACTTCACTTCTCTGGACTTCAGTTTCTCTTCCGATAAAGGGAGATGTGTAGTTATGATGAAGATTCAAAGAGACCAGGCACATAAAGTGCTGAGCACAGAGCAGCTACAACATCATCATCATCACCATCAACAACATCATCATCATCATCATCATCATCATCATCAGAATCACCATCATCTGTGCAACACCCCTGAAAGAGTTGGACCAGCTTGTCAGGAAAGAGAAGTATATTTGGGCGCTACTGGGATATCTTCTGCAAAAAGAAAGGATTCATCCATGTGTTGTGCTAACGGAAGAACAAAGCAGGCATAACTTGTTGGCTGGAATATATAGCCAGTGTTAGGTGGCCACTCACTGTGTATCTCTGTGAGGTTCTCAGCTGCCTGAGGAAATAGACACTTCTCAGCTCCCCCAGTGAGAGCCCTGTTGGCCTGACCCTTGTGGGAACCCACCATTCCTGCCTGGGATGAGTCAAAGGAGAACAGCTGCCCTCTCAGGGAGAGGCACTAGGCCATGGAGACCTTCCAATAAACGTTCTAAACTGCAAATTTTAAACACAAACATCTCAGCCAGACTAACATCCCAGTTGAACTTCAGCAATCCTTCCAATACAAAAAAAAAATGAAAATACAGCTGCTTTTCAATCATTACTAGGGCTGGAGGCTTTCCAAGTTATAAAGAGAACTGTGTAAATGTACATCACTGGGCTCTCACAGCGGATATGATCTGACAACAAAAATTACCCAACCAGTAGTTCAGTTAGGCCTTTATGATGGGGTTTTAATGTGTGGTTAAACCTCACTAATTCAGCTTTAATCATAAAGGGAGGTCAGTCTGAATGACAGAAAATGTTCAGTGGAGCACAGCATATTACTGGTAAGTTTCTACAGACTGTAAAAAGAGGCATCTAGAAGAAGGGCTGGTGAGACAGAGGACTCTGCCACTAGCTCAGCCACTGCAGATGAATAAATAAATAGATRCTTCTAAGAGTGTCCAGTTGTGAACATTTAGGGCATTTATTCCAGGAGGTTGACAAGTTAAAAAATGCCTTAAATTCTCTGGTCCTACCAGGATGGGGTCCTCTCTTCTCCACACACACACACTCCCCCCCCATCCCCAGACATTTCATTTCATGGCTCCTGGTTTTCAGAGTTGGGACTCAGGGACTGGACAGAGCCAGCCCCAGCAAGCCTCAGCTGTCACCACGTTGGCCACAGCGGAAGCTCAGATCACAGCTCCACTTCCACTCTCTCCCTCAAGGCCCGACTGGCTCACAAAGAAGGCAGTTGGTGCCCGAGGTCTTTTCCTGTGGCCAATTTTAAGCAATTCTCTGTTCGTGGCTGATTTAAGTCCTGTCATGCCATAATCGTTCTTGAGTGAGTTTGTTGTTCGTTTTGTTATTATTGCTCCTCTCTCGACTCACACCACCATAACAAAACTGGGGTCAAGATCAGGCCAATCCTAAGAAACTGATAACAGAGAACCAGCTGGCTTATTAACTAAGGCCAAGAGGGGCTTGTAAGACCTCAGAGCTCACAGAGTAACGTGGGCGATGGGGAGTCAGGGTCTGGCCTTTTATTTCTTAGTGAGATTCTGCCCTTTGTATCCCCCACCCCTCCATGATGGCAATTTGGATCTGTACCAGCCCCTGAGTCTCACCCTGGCACTGAYCTCAGGAAGGTACAACCGGAGTGCCGTGGGAAACCTATTAAACTGCTACCTCTGCCACCTTTTAGCTGGAGACCTATTCAGCTGGGCTGGAGACCCAGGCCTGCCTAAGGATGTGTTCCCAGGGGACCAGTGTGTGAAGGAGTAAGCAGGGAGAGAGGGAGTCGTGGAGGTTTATCATGGAGACCCCACCATGATGCAGAGAACTCCTCAGGGTCATAGGTGTGCAAATCCATGCCGAGCTACACAGCCCTGGATAACAGGCAAGGGGGAGAATAGAGTTCCTCACCTTGGGGTACAGGACAGGGTTGAATTTCAATCCCACTGCATCATCACAGAAAGCCTGAGCAGGGAAAGAAACACAGTGGTCAGAGACCAAGCCCACAAAGCACACCCAGCTCCTGCACCCACTGAGAGAAGACAGCGTGGCAAGAAAGGACCCCAGGGTTGGGAACATGTGTGCCCTGACATTTCCAGGGCTTCCTGACAAATTGATGAGAGAAACCAGGTAAAGCCTGAGACTCATCCCCACTCTGACCTAAGGATAAGACAAAAAAAAAAAACCATCTGCCCCCCAACTCCCACCAAAGTTATTCGGCCTCATTCTGCCATATCCCTGCTCCCAGATTGAGGGCCCAATACAACCCCACCCTCTTTGCTGACTCAGTTCCCAAATCCCCTATATTCCAAAGTGACATGGCACCTCTGCCAGCTGGCTCCTTACACAAGGTGGTCCTGGGTCTGAATCACCTTTCAGCAGGCCCAGGCCTCTCCTCTGTGTGAAGGCTCCCCGACCTCCCCTCCACACCCCGATTCTGAAGTCCCATAGCTCTTGCCATAGCCAGCCCTGTCTTCCCCTATATTTTGTCTCCTGAACTGGCTGTGAACTGTCTAGAGCAGAGACGAAGGATTACACTCTCTCCTGAGCAGCCTCAGCATTGATGGAAGCAGCTACCAACAGGCCCCCAGTCCCATCCATGCAWTCAAGGACCAGAGAAAAGAGGCCTCCCCCTCCCCAAGGGCAGACCCTCCATTCCCCAGAGGCCAGCTCTGGTTGGAAAGAAGTCACCTTCTCCCGAGGGTTGGTTTTTACCTTTGCAATCTGAGGAACACTGGGCAATTTGCTCAGTCCAGCCAAGGGGATCCGCTCATGCACTGTCTTCAGTTTGGACCTGCACATGAGGACAGGGTGAGGCAAGGGCACCCACAAGGAATTGAGTCAACAAGGAAGGTGGCTGAGGTCACACCAGACAGGGCACTTGTTTCAGGTCTCCCTGGGGGCAGGTGTGCCTCTTTCCCCCCCAACCCATGTGTGGGACAACACACTCAAATGGTGGGAAAATGGAACCTACTGAGGTACCCCAGGGGAAGTGGACACTTCAAAGAACATGCCTGATAAAGCTGTCTGCCATGAAAATATGGGAAATAATTATATTTCCACCCTCTAGGTCACCATTATTATTTTTTGTTTGTTTCTTTCTTTGTGAGTTTTTTGTGTTCTCCCAAAGAACTGGACCCGGCTTCTGTGTATATTTGGATTTTGACATGCAAATGAACCTGTCGTTAAAGATAATCTAATTTTTGAAAATCTGGATTTACTCAAAATATAAATGGAATGGAATCTGCTTTATAAGGGATTCACCATAAGACTCTAAATTTAGCCTGTTCCCCTGATTCATTTAGCACATTATGAAAGTGTTGGGATTTTCCTGAATGCTGTTCTGCATCTGCTGAGATAATCATATGGCTTTGTATCTGTTAACCTGGTAGATTACATTTCTGTGAAGCCATCTTTTCATCCCATGGGTAAAACTCCAGTTGCTTATGATGTATTATTTTTAATATCCTACKGAATTTCATTGGTTAATAGTTTATTTAGTTGTTCACATTGATGTTCAAAAGCACTGGCCTTTTATTTCTTATATTCTCCTTGCCAGGTTTTAATATCAAGGTGTTATTTCCAGCCACATAAAGTTGTGAGATAACTTCTTGCCCTCTGAAATATCTTGAATAATATAGGGATTTTACATTCCTTAAAGCCTTGCTAAATTTCATCTGTGCCATGGCTGAGCCTACTGTTTTTATAATCAGATACTTACTTCATAGTTCTTTAGTGGTGAGTATTTAGATTTTCTACTCCTTCTTGAGTCAACTTGGGTAACTTAAGTTTTTCTATAAAAGTATCCAACAAACACATCAGATACTGTTAGTAACTGCTCCATTGCTGTAATATTACTTGTTTGTGTCTTTTCTCTGTTTTCTTTGATCAGTCTTAGCAGGAGGTTTACCTATTTCATTAGACTTTTCAAAGAGACAGCTCCTGGCTTTCATGATCATCTCTGTTCTTTTTCATTTCTTTCAACTTCACCAGTTTGTTCTTTCCTTTCTTCTATTTCCTTCAGGGTTTTTCCTACTATTCTTGTTCTAACTTCCTGGCCTGCACGCTTACCCATGTAATCTTCCTTCTTGTTTATTACAAGTGCACTTAGAACTATACATCTCTCTGTAAGTACCACTTTAACTACATCCCACACATTTTGATAGGTAGTATTTTTACTGTCATTTAGTTCTAAATATTTTGTCAGTTCTTTTGTGATTTTCTCTTTAACCAAGGAGTCATTTTTAAAAGGGTTTTTTATATATTTTTTTCCTTTTCTTTCTTATTTATTTGTTTTTCAGTGATGGAGATTGAACACAGAGTCTCACACATGCTAGGTAAGTGCTCTACCACTGAGCCACATCCCCAGCTAAAAGGATTTAAAAAAAAAAAAACTTTCCAAATAAGGAAGATTTATCCTCCAGTATCTTAATTGTTGGTTAATAAATTCTCCTTATTTTCAGGGAACATAATCTATATGATATTCATTATTTAAAATTTGCTGACTTAGTACATGAAATATTTTATTTCTTTTTCTTTTTAACCATACTGAAAAGGATGTTATTTTTTTTCTTTTGTGGAGAAAAGGAATAGACATTACCAGATCAAGTTTGTTCATTGAATTGTTTAAATCTTCTTTATCYTCACAATTTTTTTTATCTACTTGATCCACTGTCTTCTGAGAGATGTTATCAAAATTTCCCACTATGAGGATTTGTCTACCCCTCCCTATATTTCTGTCTGTTTTTACTTTTTAAATCCAAGCCTCTGTTATCAAGGACACACCCATGACTTTCGGGCCTGGGAGACCTGTCCTCTCCATCCTCATATGGATGGAGGCCTCAGAGGGGACCCTGCAGAGGCGATCTTTCCCTGCCCAGGTTCTGAACAAATTCARACACAAAATAATACCAAAGAGTAAGGCAGTGAAGAGTCAAATAGCTCTTTGTTACTGAAAAAGACCAAGTGAGAACACAGCTTAGTATAAAGGAAGATGAAATGAGGCTTTCTAAAATCCAGAATTAACCAAACGTCTCCATCCAGTCACAGGTAGTGCTGGACAGGGGTTAAGACACCCCCCTCCCCCACGGGGGAAGTGCTCAGGAGAGAACTCCAAGAGGAAAGGGTAGAAAAATGTTCTTGCTCCTAAATGAACCTGTCAGAGGGCAGAGAGAACCAGGGGTGTTATACAAAAGTGGTCCCTCCACAAAGTAGGAAACACGAGGAGTCGGGAAAAAGTATTCCCAGGTTACAAAGGAGTACTTCCTTTATCCTTAATGCTTTTTACCTGAAATTCTATTTTGTCTGATTTTTTTTAAAAAATATTTTTTTAGGTGTTGGTTGACCTTTATTTTATTCATTTATTTATATGTGGTGCTGAGAATTGAATCCAGGGCCTCATACATGCTAGGCAAGCATTCTACCGCTGAGCCCACAACTCGAGCCCCTATTTTGTATGATTAAAATATTGTTATGCCAGCTTTCTTGGTTAGTATTTTCCCAGTGTGTCTTTTTCCATTTCTTTCTTTTAAATCTTTCCATGTCACTCTTCCTTAAGTATGTCTCTTATAATCATAATATACTTCCATTTTTAAATTCAATTTAATAGTCTGATATCTTAGTACGTTAATCTAATCTATTTTTACTTACTGTAACTACTAATATATTAGAAATTATTTCTACTCTATGTCATTTTATATCTTCTATTCCCTGTGGGGTTTTTTTCCTTTCCTGTCTTCAATTGAATAAAGTTATAATTTTTTTTTGTTATTCTCTTTTTATATGTTTGCTAGTTTCGGAGATACAGATTGTATTTCTATGTATTCCAACATAGATACTTATATTTTTTCCAACAAACCCTAAAATTGTTATTTTTTTCCTATAGAGGAAAGCAAATTAAAAAAAAATAAAGTATGCTTTAAACACTGAATTATTCCTCTCCCATTGTCCTTGCTACTTTTGTTTATAAATTTCGTTCAAGTCTCCTTTTAAAGATGCCAAAAAATCACTTCTTTTTCCAGTCAGTAATTAAATTTATCAACATGGTTTACCTATATCTTGTGACTTTTTAACTGCATCTTTTCTTCTGAGTTCTCTTTCTTCTAGCTGAAGTACATCCTTTAGTAATTCTTTCAGGGAGACTCTGTGAGTGGTACACTCCCATTTGTTTATATTTGAAAACAGTTTTATCTTGTCTTTGCTGTTTTCTGGGCATATAACATTGGGTTAAGAGTGTTTCTTCTTTAATTTCTTTCCTTTTTTCTCACTTGCTTGCTCTCTACACTTTAAAGATACTGTCCCCATCGTCTTTTGACAACTATTATGGCTTAGGAAAAATCTATTCTCAGCCTAGTTGTCCCTACCTCAAAGACTGTCTGGCTTTATCCTCAGGTAGTCTTAAAATTTCTTTAATCTTTGATTTCTGATGTTTCACATCAACATATCTAAAAGTATTGTTTTGTTTTAAAATTGCTCTCAGCCGTAGGTTATGTACTTTCTTCAATTCTGAAATATTCTCAGATAGTCCCTCTGGGTATTTGTTCACTAATCTCTCGAGTATTTCCTTCTGGAACTCCTTTGAAACAAATTCTGAGGCCTCTCAGTCTATTTTCCACATCTTATCTTCTTTTTTGTATACTTTATTTCTTTATCTGTGCTGTGTTCTGGATGAATTCCTTGAGACTCTCTTCTGATTCACAAATTCACTCTTTGAACAAACTAGATTTTATCCTATATGTTAAGCTTATTTCAACAACTATTTTTTTTATTCCTCAAAATTCTAATCATTTTCTTTACATGCCTACATGTTCTTAATTCATTTCCTTGTTTTACAATCTATCCATTTTATAGATGCTATTCATTCTTTGTCTTTTTAAGATGTTAAATATATTTATTTTAAGTCATTTTGAAAGACTACCATTATTTGCAATTCATCAGCAGTAAATCCATCTCCCATTTGTTGACATTTCGGCTGTCTTTCTTAATGTCAGTTTTCCCCAGGTGCCTGGAATTTTCCATCCACTTTTCTCTATTCTCAGTTCAGTCCCYATCCTGGCTGTTAGTCTGTACCACTCTGGGGGCACCATTCACGTTATACAATCTGGTGGCCTGGATCATCACCTAGCTCACGTCACCTGGCTCACTGCAGCTGCCTCCTGATTCACCTTCCTTCTCTTGGCCTTGACATTCCTCCAAGTCATTGCCCGTACTCTAGCCAGAATGACCTTTCTACAGATCTTTTTGTAACATTCTCCCTTCTGTAGCTCTCCTCTTGCTCCTACGATAAAAATCTAAGCTCCTAAAGATGATCTGTACATGAACTAGATTTCCCACATCTCTCCAACAGTCTTTCAACCCCACACACACATAGACACACTTTCCACAATCAAACCATCCTGAACTTCTTTCAGTTCTCTGTCAACATCTATCTTTTGCACCACCCCCACTAGCCTACAATGATTCAGGTCCATAAGAAGAAGATGAGTAAAGCTAAGGGTATATAGCTCAGTGGTAGAGCCCTTACCTACCATGCACAAGGCCCTGAGTTCAATACTTGGCATTTGGGGAAGGAAGGAAGGAAGGAAGGGAGGAAGGGAGGGAGGGAGGGAGGAAGGAGAGCAAGAAAAAAAGAATATATAAAATGTACTGAATGCTTTCTATRGTCAAATACACAAGTTAAGAGCTTATTCCTCATAGGATTCCCTACCACTAAACAAAGTCTGGCACATAGTAAGCCTTGGTTAAACAAACACTGAATAAATCATGTAGTTCTTCATATTAACCATCCTTGCATTGCTATAATAATTATTTCTTGACTATAGTAAACTTTTATTAATAGACTGCTTGAATTTGAGTTTCTCAGACTAAACATTTTTCTATATTAATAAGGAATAATGGGCCATGTTTTTTTCTTTTTTAACTTACATTTCATTTGCCTGTCTTATTTTCCACGAGGATCCTTTAAACATTATCAAATGAATTGGGAAGCTTTCCATATTTTTCTATTCTTTTGAACAGTTTAAATAACACAAATCTGTTCCTTTAAAGTTTAAAATACTTACAAAACCATTCAGACCTAGGAGCATTTGGAGGGATAATTCTTTTGAGAATGTTTCTAATTTATTGGTGCATTTGGGKTTTTTTTAACCTCATCCTGAGTTACATTTGGTGATGTATACTTCCTTSAAAGGCATCTGTTTCAACTAACATTTCCAGTTTAATGTCGTAAATTGCACACAGCATCCATTAATAATTATTTAACCTTCACTTCTGTGCTTATGTGTCTTTTTATGCCTAATTTTGTGTGTTTTTATTTTCTCTTTTTATCTACATTTAACTAGCTAGTTGCCTCTCTTGTTTTGTTTCCCCTAAAAGAAGCCCATATTTATCAAGTCTTGTACTCTTTTTATTTCTAACTTTATTTATTTCTGCTTTAATCTTTTTTGTTTCTCTCACTTTCCTTAGATAATCATATCAATGATGAAAAGAGCAGTAGCTACCATTATTACATTATTGAGTAGCTACAATATGATGAGCTCTGACTCACCAGGGCACATAAACACCCAAGAATTTTAACATAGATACTATCGCTGCCATTTCACAGATGAGGAAACTGAGGCAGAGAGAGGTTACTAACAATAATAACACATGTAAACATCACTCTTTCTTATTTAATAGGAGACTGTTTAAGGCAATATACTTTCTTCTAAGTGTAGCTATGAAGACAGCCCAAATTCTTTATGTGGAATATTGTAAATGTCATTTCTCTATAAATATTCTTTAACTATATCCTTGACTTTTTCTTTGTCCTATAAGTTACTTAGGAAACTATTGAGACTATTTACTTCTAAGTGGCAAAAAACGTGGATTTTCCAAAACATTTTTTTGTTATTAATTTCTAGTTTTATTGTCAATGTATAAGCGAATAGATCCAGAAGAGAATTTGCTTTTTGAAATGTATTTAGATTTATTTTGTGGTTCCAAAGTTCCTAAATCTACCTGCAAAAGCCACCTACAAGATTTTTAAAAGCAGAAATTTCAAATCACAATCCAGTTTTTAAAAAAGAACAAAGCTTATGAACAGACAGTTCACAGGAAATAAACACAAGTGATCCTTAAGTGTATGAAACGATGTTTCCAAACGATGGGTAGATCCCACTTGGCTACTCTCATGCACACACAGAGGTTGTCAGAAGGCTATTCTCAGATTTTAGGCTAGAGTGCTGGTTGTGATAAATTTGGGACATCAGTTAAATAATCCAGAACTCTATGGGGAATGAGGAAGAAGTGGGGACAGTAGTTACTGCCAGCAAGGGAATTTCATCTCTGGATAAGTACTTCTTTGTGTCTGGTAAAGCTGCTAAGCCATCGAGCCAATTTTTCATGCCTGGTTTTCAATTTGGCCTGGCAATCACTCCAAGTACATGATGTGATTGTCCAACTTCCTAGCTGATACATGGCTTCTCTCTGTCACCCTGCCCACTGGCTTTCTTTTGGGGAGAGCCACATTTGAGCTTATTCTTGAGCTCTCCCTGGTATTGATTTCAAATACTGCTGGCCCAAAGTAACAAAAGTGGTTCAATGCAGAAAGACCCCTCACCATTCAGGGCTCCCTCTCACTCCTAAAGAGAACAGTTTTCTTCCAGAATCTTCAGTTGCATATAGTCCCACACTATATTGCTTTCTTAGGAAGGGGATCTAGGGTTCAACTCCATATCACCTACATTTGGGTCCTAACTATCCTATAAATGACAATTTTAAAATATCAAAGCGTGAGTTGTGTCTGGCACCTTCTCCAACTTTCAGTCCTGATACAATGTTTCAGATAGGATGTAGCATGAGGAAAGAGGGCTGAGATCCCACTGTCATCTGACTCAAAAGTCCCAAACCATCTTGGTCTAATTTTTATTAAGAAAGAAAATACTTTTCTTCAGAGAGGTTCCTCTAGCTAGAAATTCTATTTACAGCTAGGGATCCAGGTATTACCCACTCTTGAGATTTTTCTGTCGTTATTTAATTGACTTTCCATGTTCTGCAAATACGATGTCCACCCAGGTGAACTTTTGTAAATGTAACTGCTTCCTTTCTACATCAGAAGCAAATCAGGGTTGGATGGGGGCTAATCATTTATTCAAAACATACGGTCTCCTACCTCTCCCAAAGCAGAGTTAAATGTCCTTCTTCCTTCCCATGTTTATCTCAAAATTTAGACAGAATTTTTTAAAAAAAACTGTTATTGCTCCCTTCCAAATACCTTTAAGAACTTACAATTAGATTCAATAAACATGATTTGAGAGCTTGACATGTTCATAGAAGTCTACTAAGCTCCAGCCCCTTGGACTTCCTGGCTTCTGTACCCTCCAGCCAGGGACAGATAAATAAGGCACACACTCCTCTGGGCTCTCATAACATTCTGTGCATATGACTAAAATAATACTTGTGACACATCTTAAAATTCTATTTTTCTCACTTGCTAGACCATAAATCTTTAGGGAACAGGGACCAAATCTCAGTTATCTTTGTACCCCCCAGAACTTCTCCTACCTCCTGGTATAAGAAAGGTTTTACAAAACACGTTACTTGAACCAAACAGAAGCCAGTTCCAGTTCCTGTCCTTTCGGGAAGTCACAATCCAGGGAGAGGTGCCCTGGCTTCACCTATAAATCAGTGTTCCTGTTTTAAAGATCACTCCAGCTCCATGAACCCAGAACACACAACAGAGGCTTTGGGATCCACCTTCCCTGACTCAGTGGTCACCAGAGGCAGYATTTTGGACAACCCTTTCCCAGGACATAAAGCTGCGTCTCAGCTTGATAAAACACACCAAGCCATCCCTACTCTTTGTTTCCATTCCTTCTCAGGGCTAGGTCCCTTATAAGAAAGAGAGGCGTGTTGGGGGTCTGGTCTTGGTGACCTTGAGAATCAGTCAGCTGGGGCCACCTGGTCCTACTGCCTGGCAACTTCAAATACAGCCCCAAGATGCCAGCAGTTCTTTTCTTCCAGCACACCCAGATCAGACCTGGTCAGACTGGTATTTCTGCCCCACCAACCCCCCCCCCCCCACACACACACACACACACACACACACACGGCAGACCCACCCAGAAGAGGTGTGGCAACCAATACAACAGGCCCACCCACCTGAGAATGATCCTGAGGTACTCAATCCCTTCCACTTCCTCACACTTGATGGACAGAATCAAGTTCCCGAGGCTGCTGCCGGTACAGTAGAAGTTCAGATGATCCTAGAAACAGAAATCAGGTGTGAGTGGAGGGGAGGCAAGCCTCCAGACGTGTCACCCYAAACCACCTTCTTCACCAGGAAGGAGAAGCCCCACAGAAATGAGGAAGCTAAGGATGTCACTGCTAACGGGACATGCCAAGCACCGTGCTGTGGGTTTAATACCTACTATCTTCTTTAATCCTGACCACAGCTTTAGGCAAGAGATCATCCCCATTCCACAGACACAGACACCAACATTCAAACTCAGATCTGTCTCAACTTGCTGAAGCTCTTCACCACCAGATGTTCCCAGGGGAGCAGCCCTCACCACCCTAGACTCTCCGTGGGAGAAAGCTAAGAGGCACTCAACACCTCCACCCAAGGGGAGGTGAGAGGTCCTCTGAATCCGGGAGTCTGGGCTACAAACATCGCTTCCTGGAGCCCACGCCAGGTCCACCAAGTCAGGGTGAGGTGTGKAATCTACATTTTAACCTCCTGGGGTTTGGAGGCCTGGGTACAGCTTCCTCCAAGTGAGTCTCTGCAAAGCTGTCTCCGGCTTGAGATATCCAGAATCTGCCCTGGGGACTTGGGGAATCTAGCAAACTTGAAGGGCAGAATATATTTAAAGATATATAACTTTGTCACTTTTAAGTAATCAGAGGGTCACAGCAAGCACACTGTGCTCAGGGRAACGGCACACAGGACATGAGACATGCGCACTAAGAATATGGTAATGTAGACTTCCAAGATGTGAGGATGCGTTTTTTTTCTGAAGAAGTCAAAACTCTGCCCACTCTCCTGCACCCCCAAACATTACCCATCTCATCAACTCCTGGAACCCTTGCTGGGGGTGACCCCCAAAGGACCCATCATGGGAATTCTGCACTGCTCCCCTGCCCCTGCCCCAGAACACTGCCAGTCAAACTTCTCCTATTTATACAAATGCAGACAGGCAGGAAGGGGACAGATCTGGGAAGGAGAAATGGCAGGGAGAACAGAGGGGGCACTGGAGAGAGGACCCCCTACCCACCCAGGGCACTCCACCCTCTGGCAGCCCTTTTCTCCCAGGGCCCCTGAACCTCACCTTCCCTAGGAAATGCCTGCGGTAGGCCCTGGCTTCACCCTTGCACTCGAGCTTGTAGCCAAATGTGTTGGGGCTGAGGTTGTCCTCTTCCTCCTCCTCACAGATGCTGCTGCCCAGTGACGTCGGTGTCCCCACATTCTCCGGGTCCTCGATCCAATAGCCCCCAAACTGGGGCAGGATGATCAGAGGGTATGGGCCGCCCTTCTCCACAACCTGGAGGCAGAGGGAGGATCTTGTCCTGCAAGCCTACTCTGGGACTGCAGGAGGAGGTGCCTCTGGTGTCCCCACCCACCTCTGAGCTGCTCCAGGGAAGGGAGTCTGGTATTTTTAAGGCCAAAGTCAGTAACATGAATCCCTCCTCTGTGACCCACTGGCATCTCCAGCTTTACCAGCTGACCCTGTGCCTGTGGGTTGCAAGGCCCAGATGGGAACCCCCAAATAAAACACGGAAAAGCCAAGGTCACAGAGGCAAATATGGAAAGAGGCCTCAGGCCCTCAAATCCCAGGCCTGAGGTTCTTTCCCATGTGGGGCTGGGAAGGGCCATGATCTCTCCAGGGACAGGACCCAGATAGGGCTGCAGTGCAGACAGGGGGGCTCCTACCTCATCAATGCTGGGATATGGGATATAGTCATCCTGCAAGACAAACCAGAGAACAGAACTGTTAGTCCTCGCAGTGGTGATAAAGTCAGATCATTGTTTCCATGTCCCTCTCCTGGATCATGGGAGGGGATGCACTGGGAGGCTTAGCAGGTTGCACCAGGGCTTTGGGAGAAACACATGAGATGGAAGAACAGCCTAGAGGCAGCTGCGGGATCTGATATCTTACATAAGTTGTGCTAGTCTTCAAAGTGACCACACCTGAACGCAAACTCAGCTGAGCCAAAGACTCAGCATACAGAGGTGCTGACCCTGTCACCTCTAGTGAGACCAGCTTCTCAGCCTAGGGTGCCAACACAGGGCGATGGCCCCTAGTCTCACCCAGTAGCCTTCTCCAGGTAACAGGGCTGAACTCTAAGGTACCCTCAGGCATTGGGAAAAAAAAAAAAAAAACAAAGCTAAGAGCTGGTGGTCCTCTGAAACCGAGTCTGACAATCCCAAACACTGTACAGGTGCAGAGACAGGTGCCAACTAGGTGGGGGCGGGAGCGGCCAGGCCCAGCCACCAATCCTGGGTCTCCTTCAAGGCTCCCATCCCCACCCCAGCCTGCTCTGAAGTTACTTTAAAGGCATGGAGCCAGGTCCCCCTTTGCTGCCTACCAGGCACAATGTAACCAGGCTTCAGTCACTTCAGTGGCTCTTGGTGGAAACCAAAGGGAGACAGGAGGGAGACAGAGGAACCCTGTCTCCTCGCCCTCGTCCCACTCATGCCTCCTCACTGGGCCCTCCCAACAAGCACCTCAGCCACCCAGCCCACCTTGTTCTTCTGGGGTCCTGGCTTCTGCTCTTCAAGCTTGATCCCCTGTGGAAAAAAAAAGGAAAAGAGGACCCATGGAAGCAAAGGTCACGAAAGAGTGACCAAAGAGAGGAGTCTCTGGGCAACTGTCCTTGCTGGGGGTTAATGATGGTGACAGCAGCAACAGCTGGCAGCTCTCACTGCCTTGTCACTGTCAGTCCTCACAGCAGCCCCAGACGAGACAGCTAGTAGCTCAGTTAATAGCCCAGATTGGAGCCAGATGCCCTGGGTTCAAATCCCTGCACTGCTAGTTACTAGCCTCATGACCGTGACCATGTCACAGAAACTGCCCTGTGACTGAAATKCGAATGATGACAGCACCTACCATTGTGTTGAAGATCAAAGGTTAACAATGGGTGAAGCCCTTGGAATACTGACTGGTAACTGGTTATCAGTCCCATAGGCTGGCAATACCACTGTTATCATCCTAGAGCTGAAATATATTCCCTAGGGCTACAAGGTCAGCAGGTGAGGGGCTAAGATGGGAATCCATGTCCGTGGCACCATCAGCTGCACCCTCTCCCTGATGGGAGGGCCTATGCATCCACAGGTCCTCCTTCTGCTGCAAGCCTCCTCTATGTGACCCTTGGAGCTGCATCTATAAAATGAGAATGAGACACATTCCCTACCACCCCCGTGCCAAAAAAAAAAAAAACTTCATAGATACATGGAGTCTCTATTTGAGGATCAGATTTGAGGACTGGGATTAGACTGGGGGAATTAACCTGCAGGTGTCTGGAAAATTCACTTCCGAGAGCAGTGCCTTTTCCAGCAGTYCTATAATTGGGTTCTGACTTAACTGGGTTGTGTGGGAGGGAAACACATGGTGTCCCAAGACTGAATAAATCAGGTGAGGGTCTGAGCTGGTGGGACAAGCTAGGAGAAAGTTCCCCTCCGAAGAGAAGAGAGCCCAGAAGCAGTCCCAATCTGGCCAGAGCAACTGACACGGGAGGGGGCGGGGGGGACATGTGCCTAAGGACACACAACTAGTGACTGACAAGGCTTGGATTTGAAGCCAGGTCACCTATCCACATGACCACACCCCCCACTTCCTGGACACCAGGGCTCCTGCTAACTGAGTAGATGTAGATGCGGCTTCCCCTTCCCTGGACTTCTCTGGGCTGAGTCACCCTGCAGCATTGTTCAGGAGGGTGTGGGAGGGCCCCTCCCACAAGACAGGTGCTCCTCCTGCACACAGGCAGAAAACCACCTGGGTGGCCCTGCAGACCCTGTCCGGGTTGGCCAACTGGGTAAGTGGGGGTGAGGGAGTGATGTCAGGAGTTCACTTTGTTTGTCCTGCATTAGTCATCCCTGTCTGGGAACAGTCCCTGAGGCAGGAGAGAAAACCTCCTCCCAGCCTCCCAGATACCCCACTCCCTGCCCCACAACAGAGCCACTGCCCAAGCAGGGCCGCCTCTTCCCTGAGTACAACAGGTACTATCACTAGCTGCCTCACCACCCACCCCCCGCCATGAAGAAATGGAGGCTCAGAGGAGAAAGATACTCAACTAGAAGGCATGCAGGTTAAACCTGAGCCCAGGACTGAAGCTTCCAAAGCACGTGCACTAAACTCCCTTTGCTTCATGGGGGTTGTGCCCTTCTTCAAATCCCTAGACTCCTGGGCTGGAATCAGGGATCCTYGAGCCTAGTTTCAGCTCTTCACAACTAGCAGAGTGACCCGGGCACTTAATTGCTCTGAGGCTCTGTTTTCACAACTGCAAGATGATCAGGGAAGAAGCCCACGCCCAAGAACAGAATCCCCCCACACCAGGCACTGCCTGACCACCATCAGTTCCCCACATGCAAGTTTCCTATCAGCAGAGTAGCTAGGGACTGTGAACCCTCCACCGCTGGCACCCACTGACACGTGGTAGAGTCTTACACACTGGGAAGTTTGGCTCCCGCGCCTCAACTGAGACAGAAATGGCAAACCACCATGGGTGCTGGGTGTCGGTTGTCATAGAAATACAGAGGGAGGGGAAAAACAAGCCCCTGCCCTGGAGAAGCTCCCAGTCTAGSTGAGAAGCAAACCCAACCGACAGCCTCTAAAAACGGAACAATATGAGGCCAGTTAAGTGGGGCCAAATTGTATGCCCTGTGGGGGAGGGAGGGACTCCAGCTGGGGGGGGGGGGGGGGAGGACAGGTGGAAGGCAGAAGCCACCAGGGAGTAGGAAGGTGGAGTCTCTGGTTCCCCACCAGCTTGCCAGGATGAAGGGATCCCGTCGGCTTGAAGGGAAAATCCCAGTTCTGCTCCAAGCAGTTGAGCACTTAATTATACCCTGTCCCCACYGCTCGCGCAGAGCACATGCCAGCCCTGTTTCCACAACTTGATTAGAAGTTCCCTAAATGAATGTAAAATGAGTTTTCAGTCCACACACTGTCAGGTATGGAGCAGAATCTTAATAACTGACTCGTGGTCATGACACAAATACTATCTTTCCCTCCAACCGTCCCTCTCCTCACCTCCCCTCAGGAGACTTGCATCTCAGGACTGCCCTGGGCCCCATATTGCCCCTCCTCCTGGAACTTCCAGAACCTTATTACAGGATCTGTCTCTTCTACTTAGGGTAAAAAGTATCATGGTACAATGGCTAAGCCCTCTGGCTCTCAAGCTACTTACTTGCTTGCCATGTGTCCTAGAGTGCTTAATTTAATAGCTCAATGCCTCAGTTTCCTCACCTGTGATTTGGGGATGGTAATAGGATCATACCTACTTCCCAGGACCTTGCCAGGACAAAATAACACTTGTCCAATCCCTGAGCCCAAGAGAAGTGCTTGAAACGTGTGTCATTATCAACTTCTTCCCATTCTCTTCACCCACATCAATTCCACCTGGACCTCTGCTCATATTCCCTAGGGCAACCTTCTTACCTGACAGCCTGACCTCAGAAGCATTAGTTCCAGGACCCGTAGGGATACAAAAATCCACAAATGCTCAGGTCCCTTATTTAAAATGGCATGGTGTTTGGAACCTACCCCACCTCCCATATACTTCAAATCATCTCTAGCTTACTTATATTACCTAATACAACATAAATGTCATGTAAATAGGTGTTATCTACATTGTTTAGAGAAGTGATAAGAAAAAAAGTATGTGCATGTTCAATACAGATGTAAATTTTTCTAAAATGTTTTCCATCCACATGAAACCAAATTTTCCACAGTTGGTTTAATCCATAGATTTGGAATCTGCAGATAAGGACTGTGCTTATAAAAAGTCCCTCGAATCCACATTGAACATTGACTTTCACAGAGTGCCTACCAATTATTTACATATATTCTCTTATTGCAGCTCAGTGAGCATTTTTATTATTGTTTACTTAGAGGCGTGGAAATGGTAAGGAACTCGCACAACCAAGTGTCCAATGCAAGATTTGAACTTGGATCTGCCTCCCGTGCTGCAGCTCTCCCTCCCCGACCCAAGATGACACCCCTCAGATGGGGCTTGCTTTTTCAAGCTTTCTTTCCAACCCATTCCAGGAACAACGGCCCCTTTCCAGCCCTCCCCACTTCCGTGGAATTTATGGATCCCCAGCTGGTCCTTCCTGTCCTCAGGCTGGAGTCTTCCCAAGTGCTTTGCTGCCCGATAGCAAAATGGCCTCAGGTTGTCAGGGCTGTGGGGACCTGTCCCTCCAAGGTAGCTCCTGCTACTGAGACCCCCAAGGTCCCAGCAGCAACTGCACCCATGGCTTGGCTGCTTCCCCACTTTGGGGGTGCTCACCTGCATTTTCTCCAGCATCTCGAAGAACTCCGCCGACTGAAAGACACAAAGTGGGGAGGGAGAGAAAGAMGGGAGTCAGAGCCTCCTCCTCACCAACTGCCTGGAAGCTAAGCCCAGGGCGTCCCCAGGGAGGACATTCATTTGAGTCCAGAGAGAAGATAATTTGATTTTGCTTGCAGAACTGGAGGGCCAGAACACCCCATTCAACAAAAGAGAAAATTAAACAGGCCTGGGCTGGCCACTGGCCCCGGGGAGAGAGCAGACACTCCGTCTCTGTGGGGGAAGGGGCAGTGGGACCCCTGGGAAAAGCCACATTCCCCCAAACACCAATGGAGACTCGGCCTCCAGCAGGATTCATGTTTGGGAGGTTTTCAACCCAACAGTAAAGCCAAAATGTCCAACACACRTAGTTTTCTGACATCTGTGGCAACAAAGACTCTCTGTCTCCTACAAAATCTCACTCAGTACCCCAACAGAGAGCCAGTATATACAGCCACTCCGGTCAGGGCAGCCAAAGAGGCTGRAGCCTCTTTGTGCCCCCTGGGCCACCCTGGCCCCTGCCACCCGGCACTGTTTTGGGACCCTAGAGCTTGTGAAATGCCGCCTGAAACCCACTCATCTGAGCCTCCAGCTCATGGATGGATTATTTTAAAAATATCAAACTGCAGCTGTTCAAACCTTTAACCTCCTCCACTGACCCCTCTGTAAACTCCAGGTAAAGGCGTAAAGGAGAACAAGGAGGTGGAATGCACAGCTGAGTGCTGGAAGCTTCACCCTGATGAAAAACATGTTCCTGTCCCTCCAAAGACCTCCACTTCCCACCCCAGAAAAACAATCCTAATTTCTTTCTTTTTTTTTAAGTTGTTAATGGACCCTTATTTTATTCATTTGTATGTGGTGCTRAGAATCGAACCCAGTGCCTCGTGCATGCTAGGCAAGCGCGCTACCGCTGAGCCACAAACCCCGACCCCCTAATTTCTTATACTAACATCATTACACAAATCTGAGCGCTGGCAAGCCATGAGTCGAGGTGCCCGGACAGACAGTGCCCAAAGAATGCAGTGACAAGGAAGAAGGAACTGTCCTCAACTCTTTTTCATGCAGAATCAGTACCTCCCCAAATCTCCCTTCCTCTGTAGGCACCAAAGAGGCAGAACTGCCTGGGTGTGGGTGACCCATTCACATGTGGGGTCTACAGACCTAGATCCTGAACTGCTGTCAGTTCAGGTCAGAGGCTTTCTGCCTCTAACAGGCCAAGCTAGGCCTGACTGAGGTGCTTTGGATTTTAGGGCAGGAAAGGGCCCCYCCAGGTGACTGCTCTCAGAATTCCTCAGAAGGGAGAGACCTCCAARTAGTCAGGATCTAGGTCTAGAGACCCCACATGTGAATGTACAGGAGTAGGCTTGGGGCACCCACACCCAATGTCCTTGACCAGAGCAGCTGACAAACACCCAAGCCTACCCTTCCCACTTCTCTAGGTATAAAAGCACCAACTAATACTGTGCATTCTTACCAACTCCATCTCCAGAAGACCAGGATTGMCAGATATAAAGAGCTCACACCAATCAATAAAGATGCCCAGAAAGAGGACAGGGGACAGAAACAACCAACATTTTAAAGACACAGACACCCGACCCACCAATTGCACTTCTAGTAATCTATAGTCTAACATTCACAGGTACACAGAGATACATACTCTCAAAATGTTCATTGCTGCATTGTTTGTAACATTTACATATTTTTTTTGGAACAACTTAAATGCCAATCTATTCGGAAACTGGTTAGAGTAAGCTACATTCATAGAATAAAAAAATAAATACTACAAATAGCTTCATGTCAACAAATTAGATAATGTAGATGAAATGGACAAATCTCCTAGAAAACCACAAACTATCAAAACTGACTCAGAAAGAAACACAAAATCGAAAAAGACATATAAGAAATAAGGAGATTGAATTAGTGATGCAAAAATTCACCCTCAAGAAAAACCTAGGCCCAGATGGCTTCATTTGTAAATTCTGTCTAATATTTTTTAATGTTCATTTGTTTCTTTTTTTATTGTTTTTTTTATTGAACTATTATAGCTATACATAATAGTTGGGTTCATTTTGACAAAATCACACATGCATGGAATTTGATTTACTCCATTTCAGTCGTTGGTGTCCATCCCCTTTCCCTCCCTGTCTCCCTCTCCTTCTTCTTCCTCTGTTCTGCTTAACTTTCTTTCACTAATTTATTTATTTATTCATTTATTTATTTATTTTGGTGTACCGGGGATTAAACTCAGGGGCACTCAACCACTGAGCCACATCCCTAGCCCTATTTTGCATTTTATTTAGAGACAGGGTCTCACTGAGTTGCTTAGTGCTTCACAAAACTGCTGAGGCTGGCTTTGAACTCTCGATCCTCCTACCTCAGCCTCCCCAGCCACTGGGATTACAGGCATGCACCACCGCACCCGACCTGCTTATTTATTTTTTACTGGTGTTTTATACATATACATGAAGGTAGAATTCACTGTGGTATATTTATACATGCATATAGCATGATTTTGTTAAATCCACACTGCATTCACCCCCCCTTTCCTGTTCCTCCTCCCTTCCCCTCTCTCTCCTTCTTCAATGCCATCTGCCAAATATTTAAAGAAGAATTAACACTAAATCCTCATATTCACTCTCGAGAAAGTAAAAAGACAACCCACAGACTAGGAGAAAATGTTTGCAAACCATATATCTGATAAGAGACTTATAGCTAGAATACATAAAAAAAMCTCCAACAACTCAATAATAAAAACAAACTTCTTTTAAAAATGGGAAAAGGATCCAAATAGACATTTCCCCTTGAGAAGATAAACAAATTGATAATAAGCACGTAAAAAGATACTCAATCGACACCATTAGTCATCAGGAAATACACATCCAAACCACAATGATATTCCACTAAGATAACTATTATCAAAAAGCAGAAAATAAGTGCAGGCAAGAATGTAAAGAAATTGGAACCTTCATATATTACTGATAGGAATGTAAAATGGCACAGTTGCTGTGAAAAATAATTTTGCACAAGAACACAAATATAAGGGTATGTGTCACCTCAAAAAGCTAAACATAGAGTTGCCAGGTGACCCAGAAATTCCACTCCAATGTATATACCCAAAAGAACTGAAAACAGGGACTCAAACAAATACCTATAGCTAGAATACATAAAAAACTCCAACAACTCAATATTCATACAGAATATTGAGAATTATGTTCATACAGAATGCTCCAGCAGCACTTTTCGTGTGTGCCAAAAGACGGAAACGACTCAGATGTCCATCAAGTGGTGAGTAGGTTACAAATGTGGTATACCTACACAATGGAATAGTATTYAGCCACAAAAGGAATAAAGTACTGTACATGCTACAATAAGGATAAACTTYGAAAATAGTATACTAAGTGAAAGAAGGCAGACATAAAAGATTACATGTTATATGATCCACTTATATAGTAAATCCATACAGACAGAAAGCAGATTAGTGTTTGCTTAGGGCTGAGAGGGTCAGGAGGTTGGATGGCGTGAGCTAAAAGATCCTGGGTTTCTTTCTGAAGTGGTGAAACTGTTCTAAAATTGATTGTGGCGAGGCAATGGTTGCAAAACTCCATGCATATGCCAAAACCACTAAATTGTACACTTTAAATGGGTGACTTTACGGTCTGTGAATTATATCAATAGGGCTGTTCAAGAAAGCTATGCAACTGTTCAAAAACAAAGCAATCAATTTCTATTGCTTAAATAAGCCACTCTCCAAGGAACACTGAGGGAAAGTTGGGGAGAAAGAGAAAATCAGCGCACACCTCATTGAATATGATCCCACTTACATAAATACGACCTTAAAAACAAAATCTAAAGCGTGGCGTAGAAAACTATTTGGAAAAAATATAACTCAAACTACCAAAAGTTATTTTATCAAGAAGGGAAGATGAGAGCAGTAAGAGAAGTTAAGCTTTGTATTTGGCCTATCTCACAAACACACCCACCCACCCATGTGACTTTCGTAATTAAACTTTAAATAAATAAATAAGCTTTGTAAGGGAAACAAAAATGTGCAAACGACATGAATAAACTGCTAAAGGAGAAATTATAAAATGACCAATAAGCACAAAGAAATATGCCCAACCTCCCTTGTTATTAAAGAAATTGATAGTAAATAATAAGAACATATTTTTTCTATCAGACTGGACAATTTTGTCTCTAAATAAAATATTAAGATGGGCTTGGGAAAAAAATGGGGATGTTGCTCAGTGGTTTTTGGTACTGAGTTCATTCCCCGGTACAAAAAAAAAGAACACACCTGGTACAATCTTTCTTTCTTGTTTTTGGGTCCTGGGGATAGACCCAGGGGTGCTTAACTACTGATTTACATCCCAGCCTTTTTTTATTTTTTTTATTTTGAGACAGGGTCTCACTAAGTTGCTTAGGGCCTCGCTAAATTGCCTAAGTGGCTTTGAACTTGCAATCTCTCCTGCCTCAGCCTCCCAAACCACTGGACTGGTACAATCTTTCTAAGGAGCACTTTGGTGCTCTGTGTTCTAAGTTTTAAAAATGTTCAAATCCTTTGGTCCAAAAAAATTAACTTTAGGGAATTTGCCCTAGAGCAATATTTGAGCAACTGCACAAGAACTCAAATATAAGGGTGTGTGTCACCGCATTGTTTATAGGCAAAAAAGCAGAAATACAGTAGCCACCAGTGACGAGAGAAACAAATAATGCATGAGAGTATGCCCAGACGAGAAAATACCAAGAGAGGAGACTTGTGTTAAATTATACTAGCACATAGATTCACAATGCATTTCTAAGTGAGAAAAATACTGTTGACAACAAGATGATCCTATTTTTTCAATTAAACCCCAAAAGACATTTGTGTATATACTGTACACATCTGATTATACGTATATGTATCATCCCTGCAAAGAAAAATATCTTGCAGGATACATGGCAATATGAGATGTTGGTTAAGGATGTTTCATTTTTCTCTCTCTGTGTGTGTGTGTGTG